ATTCCTGCTAAGAAAGGTGCCTAAGCTAAATATTTTCTTCCTCTGTCCTGTCTCTTGCCACCTTCCAAAACCGAAACCCTTTCCTAGTTACCTTCATGGTCCTTTATAGGTTCTAATCTTAGTCTGGCCCAGGTAACTCTTTGTCTAGATTATATAACTTTAGCTTTGTTTCTCTCTCTGATCCAAGTCTATTCCAAGTCTTTATCCCACTGAGTTCCACAAGCAGCTTTCTGGCCTTACAGCCTCTGAGCACAAAGTGTCCACGAGTCAGTTTGCATTCTCTTGTGCTATGCATTTCTGCAACCTACTCAGTACAACCCCAGGTCTCTCAAGACTGTTTTAGACACCCACCATTACAGTATTTACTCATCCTCAGAAGCATCTGGGGAGGGAGAACTCTGTGAGGCTCCCATTTTACTTGCCTGGGATCACACAGAACCGAGTTGGGTACACACAAGTATCCCACTCTAAATCAGTGCTGCAGCCACTGGATTATTGTTCCTCTGAGCATTTATGTCTGCCATTGCTAGTTATTGCCCACCAGTTACCAGTAGACCTGGTTGTTTTGACACTTCATGTCACTGGGCAGCTTGTGTTGCAGCTCTCATCCACTGGCCTTTGAGCCAACTGTGCTCCTCACACTTGTAACTCTGCAAGCCTAGCTCTTTCCTCCTCCCCCAGGGTTGGATGGGAAAAGCAAACAGAAGTTGTTGCCATCAGGCTACTGCCCAATGATAGGATAAAGGAAACATGGTTCAAATTTGTTGCTCTGGAGCTGTCCTGCAAGGGCATCATTGGCCAAAGCACTTCACCAGATGGGGATGATTTCTGTCTGCACCTCAGCTCTCCAGGATGAGGAGTTGTATGTCTTTTTGAACCCGAATAGCACAAGCACAAAGGGGCCCTGATCTTTTATTGCTCCTGCCATATAAATAATAAAAAGGCAGCATGGGGGAAGATAAGGCAGCTGCTGCATGGGTTGTTCTTCTGCTGTAGATAAATAAAGGCCTGTAGTCTCCAGAACTGTCAGTCTGGCACCTTTCAACAGCAGGAAGTGAACGATTATTACAGAGGAAAGAAATGAATAAATAAACACCAAACAGATGACTTTTTCATGGATGCTCACTCTTCTCAGGCATGGGCAGCATGTGCCCACAGCTCTGCATGTGGGAGGCATGGGAAGCTGGCAGTTCTTTTATACATTTTACATTTGTTCTGTTCTGCCTGAGTGCCTGATTATTATTATTTTTTAAGAAGAAACTGGCTGAGGCAATCTGGAGGTTAAGAGCTGCAATAAGAGGCAATTCTTTAAGCTTTGTCAGTTTTTGTTTCTTAATAACTGGACATTGTCCCTTTGAATAACAGACCCTGAATTCTCAGTGAGCTGGCTGAAAGGTACCATGAACACCCCATGCATTTACCATATGGTCTAAATCTCCCTCAGCAAACAGCAGAGTGAGCAGCACAGCTCAGGACGGTGCTGGGAAGTCTGGCTACTGGTCCCATGATGGGAGGTCAAACTGTGGCTTGGCAGACTCTGTTTCAGCCCACTCTCATGCGATACTGTGCAGCTTTCTGGGGGGAAGGGTGGGTGATCACACCGACCCTTTCAGTGGATATGAAGCAGAAGGCTGAACAGTTTCCTGGGGTCCAGTGATGGGAATTATGGATCAGGCCCAGCGGAGGCTGTAGGACACCCTCAGCCTCCCACCTTTGGCTCAGTGTGCCCAGATCCCAGCAGAAAACCCTTCAGATTCTTGCTCTTTGCTGGCTCCTGCCAGGAGGGGGAGCCTGGCTCCTGCCTTCTGCTGCAGCAGGCCCTGCTGGGGCTGATGCCAGCTCCACAGCCCTGAGACAGGCTCGTTGCAGAGACTGTCTCCAAGGAGCCTCCATGCTCCATTGGGGAGATAACCCATGGATAACTCCAGGGATAGTGGAGGAAGGTCCTAAAAGGAGCTGGGGGAAAACGGGAAGCTGGAGGGGGGGGTGGCGCCATGTTAGTGCTGGGAAGTCGATGCTGAAATGGTGATGCTGTGACCAAGGGTTTAGGGCTGTGGAGGAGCAGGCAGGGTAGGCACTTACCACCATGCGGTTGAGGGACACCCAGCAATCATCAGGGAAGTCCTGCAGCATGGGCACAAGGAACTGGAGGCAGCCATCCCAGTGACACAGCAGCAGCATCATTCCAATCAGGTTGACAATCCGCACCACTGCACTGGCCAGATCGTAGGTCATGTGGAAGATCTGCAGGGGTCAACGGAGAGCAGATTAGATGGCAGCTCCCCCAGAAACCAACCCAACATCATTAGGTGCAGTATCAGGGTCAAGAGCCTTGCTAAAGTAACAGAAAAGGCTGCGTCAGCTCAGCTCAGGTCAGTCACAGTAGGCAAGCAGAACCAGCTGAAAAACAGATTAAAAACTAAAATACAAACCCATGATCATTGACCTCTCTTGCCCTTTCATTTTTGCCTTCTAATTTACATTAAAAGCTCCATAACTCATTTTATAAAATAAGCTGCTTGCAAATATTTCTGGAACATCAGCCAGTCCTCAGAAATACACTCTACCACTACACCTTTTAACTTCAATGCCCTTCTTTGATTTCTTCTCCTGCTGA